GTATGTCACGTAAATATGTATCAACAACATCAAATCTTATCACTAAGAAAAATGTCGAAACTGGCTATTTTTCAACTTCAAAATCACGAATAGTCGATTATTCACATCTTAACCAACATGATCCAGACTTTGACTCACATTCAAGTGATAGTAGTGGTGAAGGAGATGAAGATACTACTGAAAATTGCACAGATAATGAATATTCAACTGAGAATGACGAGGATTATGTATCCATAATCGTCTTTTCAAAGTTAGTTCGACTAAATTTCAAAGAATGCGAGTTTTTGATTCCATTAATCCCACCTTGACCAAGTCGTACTTTGCCATTAACATTAAATGGTACAACAATATATTTACATAAATAGACAGCTGCTTGACTCCTTTCAAGTGATAAATCTATTTTGTCTTCAGATCGTTTAAAGTGCATTATGAACAAACAATAAAATCTACTTACATTCCAGTTCTTCATATTTGAATCTCATCTTTCCTTTTCGATGAGTTATGCAGACTTTTGAGGGGTAATTTTAGGTAACACCAGACATTTTAATTTGCTTTTATATTTCCAACAAAGAGCGTGACAGTAATTTATGTAGTTGTCATCATGTATATACTCTGTTTTCTATGCACAATGAGGAGTAAAGTCGTCATATTCTTATGATGTTTCTTAAGATACCAACTGATATTGACTAAAAATGGCTCGAATCGATAATTTTTCGATATCAAAGAAGAAAAATAATCATCGGCAATCATTGGCAATCAAACCAATTTGGGCAATCAAAAATTCAGCTTTTCACCCCTTGGATTATTAAGCATTTAATATTCGATCCAGCGACAGCTGCTACCTTATTTGAATCAACTTTATTTATTTGTTTATGATCGTAACCACTAATAACGTCGTTGTGGTACTCCTAAACGCTTTCGAAATACCACTAACTTGTCAGTTGCTGGTCACTTAGTTTTACTTTTTCAAAAAGCTCATGTGTTTATTCTGTGCAATAGACCTCTGTGCAACCCTTTTTGTTGATCAAAACGATGACAAAATGTTTTTGAAAAACTACACTTAGAATCGAATGACTCCGCCTCAAAAACTTTGGGTCAAACTTTAAACGAAGTCATTTTTTTCCTAAAAAGCTCTCGTTTTCTTCCTCAAAAAAGTAGAAAGCGAAACTTCAAAAATCTTACCTCCAATTCGACTCTCTCGAGTTCGATAGCATCTGATCAAACTTTACAAGGAGAACTCTTTTCTCGAAAAAATACTTTTTTTAATTAAAAAGTTGAGGATCATAAGTTCTGAAAATGTGACATCAGATTAGAGTTCCTCGACCCCCATTACCGTCGGTCAACCCTTATAGGAAACTAATTTCTTTGTAAAAATGTCTCTCTCTCCCCTAAAGAAGGAAAAAGTTAAATTTCAAAAGAACTAACAACGCCATCGTGTTCCCCCCGACCCCGATTACCTTCAGTCAAACCTATCCCTACAGATATTGTTAGAGATTAGTTCAGTTTATGCATCTGCTTTCCTATTGAACGGACGAACGAACGACCGGACACACACATACACACGAACGAACGCATTTAACTCACTTTGCGTAAGACCCTCCTTTCAGTAGAGGGAATTTTATTGTACCAATAAATATTTTGAAAACAACACAAATTTTATTTTCACTTTATTTATTAATTATTTTATATTATCAATAAATTTTTTTCATTGTACTAATAAAATTTGTAAAAATAATAAACAAAAAATTTTTTTTTATTTCAATAATAAATATTTTTTTCAAAAATAATAGAAATTTTCATTTGAATAACACAAATTTTATTTTTGATTGTAATAATAAATATTTTCAAAAGCACAATTTATTTTTCACTTTAATAATAAATATTTTTTGCGAAGAAAAACGAATTTGTCTATTTAATTCATTTCTTTTCATTTAACAAAAAAATAAAAGAAGAAGAAAAAAACATACGAAGTAATTTTATATTTTAGCTTTTTTCTTTTCTTTGAAGCGAAAGAGTAAAAGAAAATTTCTTTTTTTGCTCATTTATTTCAAAGTATAGAAAAAGAAACGAACAAAGAAAAAACAATTCACAAGTCTTATTCGATAGAAAATCGTTGAACACGATTATTACCCATATCGACGACATAGAGATTACCATGTCGATCGAAAGACAAACCAAATGGGCTGTTGAACTGATTTGCTCCTGATCCTTGACCATTTCCACCCACAATTACAGCGCCTTGTTTCTTGTCTCCTTGAGTCCACCGCATTACACGATGATTCCATGAATCTCCTACATAGAATGTACCCAACGTATCAACGAAGATTCCTTGAGGATAATACAATTGTGTCAGAGCATTCCCTCGGCCTTGTCCTCCAGCGACCACAATGCCTTCTGCGGCACCTTTATTCCATTTCATCACACGGTTATTGTTGCTGTCTGATACGTAGGCAGTCTGCTGTCGATCGACAAAGAGATATGTCGGCCAGTTGAGTTGATTAAGACCATTACCTTCACCATTTCCACCAGCTACGAGAGTGCCATTCTTGTCACCCAATTGATATCGTCTTACTTCATGTTTTACGTAGTCAGTAACATAGAGATATCTCTGTTCATCCATTGCTAATCCAAAACAATCGATGTTGTCGATGAGTATTTCACCTTGTGTTGTATCACTACGATGAGACCATCGTACAACTCGTCGATTTCCTCCATCACATATAATGAGACTATCCGTCTCTTTGTCAATTAATACATCTGTTGGATATTTCAATTGAAGTAATCCATTTCCGTTGCCTTTCCCACCAGCAACAACTTGTCCATTCGTGATATCATCTTTCTTCCATTGGGTGATGCGATGATTCTCCCAGTCAGCAATAACCACTGTTTGATCATCATCAACGAAGAGACCATAAGGCAAGCTGAGTTGATTAGTGGCACCCTCACCCCAGTTACCTCCAGCAATAGTCACTCCGTTCTGTACCCACGTGGAATTAGCAGGAATATTACCTAGAAGAGAAAACGTTAGAATAAAAGGAGATCTCTCTCTTTCTCTTTCTCGAGTATAGCTAGTATATGAAATAATTTCGAAAGTATCGAGTAAAATTCTTTTAATTGATCATTCTTTTTTTTAAAAATTTCTCAGAATAAATTTTTTCTGTACTGGAAGATTATTCTATAGAATGAGCCACACATATAGCATATCGTTCTCTCTCTCTCTCTTTCAAGCGTATTTAAATTCTATATTTTTTGTAGAAAATCAAACTTAAAATAATTAAATCTTGTTAACCCAAGCAGACATTAAAAAGTCATTCAATCGGAGTTTCAAGTGATGAACTCTATTTATTTTTTCTTTTGTGAAAGTAGAACATATTAAACGATCAAAAAAACAGACATGCAAAGAGCATATCTTGGGGGTGGGGTGTATCGCGAGATAATTAATCGAAACTCTTGTAAGTGATACACAACCAAGAATACTAATGAAAATTGAATCGATTTTCTAATAATTTTATTGGCATAAATAATTTGCCGAACTCATCGAAATGTAAAATAAATATTTTTATTATTATTTAAAAACAAGCAAGAATGTTTGGACAATACTAACTTGTAATCATTTATTCAATAATGAGTTTACAATAAAACAAGATAGCAATATTGCACTGCTAATAATATGTGCGTATGTTTCTCAATACAAGTCAAGTCTAACACTATTTACATTCTAATAAACTATTTCTTCGAACAACTCAAATTTTAACCACCCTCTGACTTATAGTACTACCCTTTCCTCCCAATATATCGTGAGCTTATATACTAGAGAGAGAGAGAGAGAGAGAGATTACGTACTGTTCAGTACGCGACTATGTGTTAATGTCATATACGCAAGGATGTATACTATTAATAATGTAAACTTAATTACGTCACTGCGATACGTTTATTGGCTCTATGATTTATAAATGGAGGTCCGATGGTTTCTATAACCACCTATTAAATCTAAATCTAGTCCTTCGTGAGTGACGTATTTTCCTATGAAGAAAATATTTTTTATTACACTCTTTTTGTTCTCTTAATTGAACCATAAAGAGGTATTTTCTATACTACGTTTTAAATTATATTTCTATATACTTTCATATTTTTCTTACCAATGATGTTCTTCTTTATGGAACACTTTTTATTTTACTCTATAAATTATTTTCCAGTTTACAGTGTAGAAAAATTATTCTGTGACACTAGCAGGACTATTAACTAAAAGAGAAAATGTAAGAACAACTCATTTCATACAGATCTTAATCGAAATTGAAATAGATTCTCCAAAAGTTAGAAAACTCCAAAAAAGTTCAACTATTCAAAGAGAAAAAAAGATGAAAGAAAAATATCTTTCTACTAGAATATTCTTTACAAGGATGTCCCTCCCAAATCTTAATAAATCTGGCCCAGATTCATTTCAGAAACACAAATATACATATATCGTGAAAACCTGCTTATTAATGACGTTTAACACTGAATCATAATCGATTAGTTCCAAATGATTTACAAGAAAAGAGGGAAAAAACAGCAACAAAATAAAATTATTGTTCTGTTTAGATATGTACGGAACTGCAAAATATATCGTTAATTTCATATTTTAAGAGAAATGTTCTATAGAATAGCTGACTATACATGGATACCAAAATATTCTTTTGTTTTGTGTCATCAATATGATGATTGTGTAGTTCTAATAAAGTTTTTTGATATTTTTGAATGCTTTCTCAGGTGAGCTGTAAGTGAGTTTTGCTTTTATTCCATAACATATCTGATTGAGAGCTCAAAAATTCAGGATTCTCTCTGTATTATCGAAATTATTAGTAATACTTATCAAGTGCAATTTTCCTTGTTTATTTTTCACTTACTTGATAGAATGGATTTGATCGGTGGCGAAACAGCGTTAGACACGGGTTGTAGGAGTGGAAATGGCGGAATCGTTTCTTCCAATTGAATAATATGAAGATCACCTTGAGTAAGACAGTCCATTACTTTAAATTGAGTTGCAGCCATTAGTAGTACTTCATCTTCAGCTGGAAAGTATGAATGATTTTGAATATCTCTAGCTGATTGACATTGTAAAGTAAACATCCCAGGTCATTATCGACAAGTCGGATCTTGTCGGACGGGTTATAATTCCGATGCCATATGGTGACCGGATTCGGTCGGTTATTTTCTGGCGGGTTCCGATGATATTCTGTGTTTTCTTATGAAATCTGCTCGCCGGATCTCGAAGAACCGGCCAGATCTACCTTGACAGAAACGATCGGGTCAGATGATACGATTCGCCCGTAAATTACGTGATCCGGCAATATCCGGTAAAAGAACTGTACCGGAATCGTTCGTAATGCATGACACTCGATTAAATGGTAAATCCGGCTTAATCAGTACCACCGGAACACAGCAAATCATATCAGAACGGACCGGCCCCACTAAACGGATTTAGCCGTTTCCTACAACACAGATCCGTCCGAAAACCTCTGCATGTAATTAACCGATACTAAAGGAACACGTTGTGGTTCATTCAGACTGCTAATTAACAACTCATACAAGCGATGATAGTCATGATTTGAAAATTATAGTCGATCCCATAGGCTTTTTTATGAAAAATCAATCCAAATTAGTGACATGATCACATTTATTGATGCTGAGCGCAGTTATCGATCCGGCTTAATCTCATTCCATCGGATTTGAATAGACAGGAATAATTTCGATAAGTTCCCGTGAAATTGTTCCAAGAATTGTTGCTAACGAATTCTGATCACCGCATCCAGTAGAATCCTGATAAGAGCCTGCCAGATTTTGTCGAATCCCAACCGAATTCGATCATAATCTGCTAACTGGATCGTTTGTGTGACGATTTTAGATAGAAGAGATGCCTGTGTTGATGGTATTACACTTTATTTAACTCTTCAAATCATAAATCTCATCGATTACATATAAAGCACACGCTTGAATACTCAACCATTTGAGAGAAAGAAGAAGAAGGATAGATAAAGACAAATGTAAAGGACAGAAAGATAGAGGCAATAGGTGTGATGAGAATAAATGGCACCATAAGACCAAATCTTATGTCTAGGTTACACTCGAACGAGAGCATTACACCCCCGGATGGAATTTGGACGCTCTCTGCATTTAATCGTTACACCCAGGTTCAGCTGTGAATTCATTTTCGGCCACGAAAAGTGTGGTTGCATCCGTAACGAAAGATGCTTAGAATCCTGTTTTAAGTGGAAAATGTACGTTACAATGGTGTAAAAGAGGTATCCGAACGATTGGCAAAGTCTTAGTGACTTTTTGGATAGGCCCAGATTCAGCTGTGAACTCTTTTTCAGCCACGAAAAGTGTGGTTGCATCCGGAATGAAAGATGCGTAGAATGCGGTTTCACGAGGAAAATGTATGTTGAAACCATCGAGAAACCTTTTCCGAACGATTCTGTACGGCTGTTACAGTCTTTTCATTTTTTGCAAAATGATACCTGGAGCGATGTTCTCTCAATTCTTTTCTTAACGCATGTTCTATTTTATAGGTTTTGAAATTAATCAATCGATGAAATGTAAGTCGTGAAGATCCATAATTACATTCGTATGCATCTTCTATTAATTATCAATGATTTCGATGGGCGTAAAATGATGCGTGGAGCGATCTTCTATGAATTAATCTGCCCAATTATTACCGTTCAATGATCTTTAGAATTATAATAATTGATGACAAGGTTAGTGTTGATGATTCCGAATGGCATTTAGATGCATTTTCTATTAATTATGAATGATTGTCATGGGTGGAAAATGATGTTTGGACCGATTTTAGTTAATTAATGTGACCAGTTACTACTCCTTAATGATGTTTTCAATTATAATAATTGATGACAAAGTTAGTGCTGATGATCCCGAATGACATTCAGATGCATTTTCTATTAATTATCGATGATTTCGATGGGTGCAAAATGATGCGTGGAGCGATTTCCTGTGAATTAATCTGCCCAATTATTACCGTTCAATGATCTTTAGAATTATAATAATTGATGACAATGTTAGTGTTGATGATCCCGAATGACATTTAGATGCATTTTCTATTAATTATGAATGATTGCCATGGGTGCAAAATGATGTTTGGACAGATTTTTTGTTAATTGAGGTGACCAGTTACTACTCTTTAATGATGTTTAGAATTATAATAATTGATGACAAAGTTAGTGCTGATGATCCCGAATGACATTTAGATGCATTTTCTTTTAATTATCAATGATTTCGATCCGTGCAAAATGATGCGTGGAGCGATTTTCTATGAATTAATCTGCCCAAGTATTACCGTTCAATGATCTTTAGAATTATAATAATTGATGACAAGGTTAGTGTTGATGATCCCGAATGACAATTAGATGCATTTTCTATTAATTACCAATGATTTCGATGGGTGGAAAATGATGTCAGGGCGATGTTTTCAAGAAGTGAAATGCAAGAAGATGGCGCAGTGAACTGCTTGGTTTTGTGTTTAATGAAT